CCACCAGCAGTTCATAAGGGTTCCCTTTTCTCCACATTCTCCTTAATATTTGTTACATCTTGTCTTTTTAATAATAGCCATTCTAACAGGTATGAGGTGGTATCTCATTGTGGTTTTCCCTGATCTCTGCATTTTCGTGATGACTAGTGATGTTGAGCACTTTTTCATGCACCTTTTGGTCTTCTTTGGAAAAATGTCTTCTTTGGAAAAATGTCTGTTCAGATCTACCCATTTTTAAATCAGATTTTTAAAATATTTTTTGGATATTAATCCCCAATCAGATATATGATTTACAAACAATTTCTCCCATTTTGTAGGGTTTTTTCCTTTTTTTTTTTTTGATGATTTCCTTTGCTTCCTTTTTATTTGATATAGTCCCATTTGTATTTTGTTGTTGTTGCCTTTGCTTTTGTTGTCAAATCCAAAAACTCATCAGTAAGACCAATGTTAAGGAGCTTACCCCCTGTTTTTTCCTAGGGGATTATGGTTCTAGGTTTCACTGCCAAGTCTTTAATTCATTTGCATTTGGGGTAAGATAATGGCCCAATTTCATTATTTTGCAGGTGGCTGTCCAGTTCTCTCAGCACCACTTATTTAAGAGAACGTCCTTTCCCTATTGTATATTCTTAGCTCCTTTGTTGTAAATTAACTGACCACACATGTGTGGGTTTATTTCTGGGCTCTTTATTCTGTTCCATTGATCTATGTGACTGTTTTTGTGCCAGTACCTTACTGTTTAGCTAACTATAGCTTTGTAATAGTTTGAAAATTGTAAGTGAGATGCCTCCAGCTTTGTTCTTCTTTCTCAAGATTTCTTTGGCTATGCAGGGTCTTTTGTGGTTGCATCCACGTTTTAGGATTGTTTTATTTCTGTGAAAAATGACACTGGAATTTTAATAGGCAATGCATTAAATCTGTAGACTGCTTTGGGTAGTATGGACATTTTAACAATATTAATGTTTCCAATTCATAAACATGGAATTTCTTTCCATTTACTTGTGTCTTTTTCAATTTCTTTCATTAATGTCATAGTTTTTAGTGTACAGGTCTTTCACCTCTTTGGTTAAATTTATTTCTAGGTATTTTACTTTTGATATAATTATAAATGGAATTGTTTTTCTTAATTTATAAGTTTATAGGTTATGAACCCACCACTATTACATTAGATTATCCTGAATTTAACTGTATTTATCAGAGGGATTTATGCTTTCATATGTTTTATTGCTACTAATTAGCAACTCTTTTGTTTCAGCTTAAAGAAGTCCCTTTAACATTTCTTATAAAGCCAGTCTAGTGGTGCTGAACCCCTTCAGCTTTTGCTTGTATGGAGAACTCTTTATTTTTCCTTTAATTCTAAAGAAATATTTTGTCAGGTAGAGTATTCATGGTTGGGAGTTTTTTCTTTCAGCACTTTAAATAATTCATGCTACCCTTCTGGCTGGTAAAATTTCTCCTGAAAAATCTGCTGAGTCTTATGGGGGCAGGGTGGTTCCCTTGTACATAATGAGTTGTTTTTCTCTTATTGCTTTTAAGATTCTCTCTTTGTCTTTAACTTTTGACAATTTAATTATAATGTGCCTTGGTGTAGCTTTTTTGGAGTTCATCTTATCTGGAACTCTAGGTTTCCTGAATCTGGATGTCTGTGTCCTTCCCCAAGTTACAGAAATTTTCAGTCATTATTTCTTTCAGTGCATTTTCTGCCCCTTTCTCTATCTCTTCTATTTCTGGGAGCCTTGCAACACAAATATTGGTCCACTTGATGTTGTGCCATAAATGTCTTTAAGCTATCTTCATCCTTTCTCATTCTTCTCTCTTTTTGCTCCTCCCATTAATGAAATCTGCTGCCTTGTACTCAAGTTCCAGATCCTGTCTTCCACTTCATCCAAACTGCAGTTGAATCTCTCTATTGAATTTTTCAGCTCTGTTATTATATTTTTTTCAGGTTGGCAATTTCAGTTTGGTACTTTCTTATATTTTATATTTCCCTGTTGAAATTTTTACTTTGTTCATGAATTCTTTTCCTGACCTCAGAGAGCATCTTTATGACCATTATTTTGAACTCTTTATCAGGTAAATCACTTATCTCCATTTTATTAAAGTCTTTTTCAGAGGTTTTATGCTGTTCTATTGTTTGGAACATATTCCTCTGTGTCTTCATTTTCCTTGCCTTTCTGTGCTGGTTTTTATGGATTGGACAAAACAACCACCTCTCCCAGTTTTGAAGAAGAGGCCTCTGTATAAAAGATAAATCTTATTCAACCCTGCCCTTGCTCTTGGTTGTCTTTCAATCATTTGTGAAACTGCTTAGTGTGTTCTTAATGGCCCCCAGTAGTTAAAGGTGGGCTAAGACCTGTCAGTATCCCAAAGAGGCAGAGCTCAGTCAACACCTGGATGCCAGATGATTTTAAGCTGGATCCTCAGGTAGCAGCTTTTGTTTGTTACAGTCCTACGGAACCCATGAATTTAATTAAGCCCTGTTGGCCATCAGAGCCATGCAATCAAGGGGTATCCTCTGAAAAAAAACATGACACAGATGTGTGTACAAGTTCCTTTCCAGGAGATATCTCCACCCTGAAGCAAAACAAAGGGAAAGCGCCAAGATGGCACTTATCAAGTTCTTGGTTTCTGGAGAGTAGGCAATATTAAATAGGAAGCCTGCCCCTCAGTCCATAGCTATTAAAATGAACAAATAGGCCTCTTTCATGGAAAGACTGGGTGTGTTTCAGTTTGCTGCCTCTGCTTTGGACCCTTGGGAATTTGCCACAATGAGTCTGCACAAACCTTTTAAGAACTGTCTCTTAGTTTGCTATAGACTTCTGGGCCTTGTGGATGCAAGCCTGCTGGCTTTCAAAACTTCTGACAGTTTTAAATCTTCATTCAGTCTTCACTGTTTATTTTAAATATCACCCATGGGGGTAAAAAGTAATAAAATCTAGGCAAGCTTTGTTTTCTTACTAATTTATACCTAATACTATTTTGCAACTTTAAAATGAGCTTTACTCTTAGAATATGTATAGTCAAGGATTAAAACTTAATGCCACTGTAGATAAAAAAATGGTTCAGAAGTTTACATAATTAAAAACGAAAAACTCCGTGCCAAGTCTTACCATCAGCAAAAATGTTAAAAAGCTAATTTGAAGCCTGAAAAGTTTAATTTTATTTTGTAGATTAAATTAAATGAATTTAGCTTAGGTTTCTTGTGGAAAACACTTCTGGAGACTAAAAAGTAGCTAAATGACACTTCGAAACTTTACTGTAAATGTATACATATGGTTCTATCAAAGATTAACTGAAAATGCTCATTTTTAAATATCAATATTTGTTTTTCACTCATGCTTTGTTTTCTTTTTTTAAGTGTATTTGTTCTTTTTTTTTTAAAGATTTTATTTATTTATTTGACAGAGAAAGACACAGCAAGAGAGGGAACACAAGCAGGGGGAGTGGGAGAGGGAGAAGCAGGCTTCCCGCTGAGCAGGGAGCCCGATGTGGGGCTCAATCCCAGGACTCTGGGATCATGACCTGAGCCAAAGGCAGACGCTTAACGACTGAGCCACCTAGGCGCCCCATTCTCATGCTTTGTTTTCAGTACATCTGTTTTCTCTATTCTCTGCTTACTTGAAAACTTCAAGATCTTTGACACTGTGACTGAATTCTGAGTATCAATGGGGAGTGGTTGCCATGAGACTGACAACTACATGAGAGTAAATGCCTCATTATACAACATCTGCACAATTATACTATCAAAGCTCACCATTTTTTCACCAATAGTTTTCAACATTTACTCTCCCATTTTTTTTCCTGTGAAAGCAATTCAAAACTGCATGACATAAAGCTGAATTTCAGTAAAACCGAATCTTGTAATAAAATCTTGTAGTATGGTACTTTCAAGCTTTAAATGAAATAACTTCCACTCTCCACTCAGTTCTTCACCTTGTACATCTTAAGAGGAAAGATCCAGTTTATACAACCCAGGTCTACAATGCAATTATGTCATCTGATAATTTGGCAGAGATAAGCAGGTGATAACCAAAATTCATGCTTCTCCTTTCATGGTATAGATTTGTCACACAAAAGTAGTTCTTAGAAAAAAGTTTAATTCCTTAGCCCACTTGCTTCTCCAAACATGAAAGTATCTTTCTACTGGTGGGATGTGGATTATATAGAAGCCAGGGGTTGAAATAAGCACAGATGGAAGGAGACTTAGTCCTCTACTCATTTTGTAAAGGGAACCTGCCATTGACTGAGAATATTGCACTGGAAATATTACTATGGCAAGAAGAAACTGCAATTGCATGAAAGCCTTAAATGTTTGGGCTTATTTTTTACTTGAATTAATTCAAATAAGATTTCAAAACATATATTTAATGTATTTATGTTTACTTTGCTTGTATATCTTTCAGATTCTTTCAGGGGGTGTAAAATAGTAATATTTTAATTATGTTTTCAGCTTGGTTCACTGCATAAGAGCATATCTAGAAAATTGAGATGATGTGGTCATTCGAATATACAAATATAGATTCCTTCCCTTTTTCATTCTGAAGGAAGTCCTATAGTTGAAGAGCTGCAGCAGAATACTTCATCCATGGCTAGTATGGCTAGATGAAGGGAGCTCACATAAGTCAATTTGATAGCTTTTCCCATTAATCATGATTAATCAGATTTTCTTTTGAGATTTCATTTTTTTTTTCTAAATTTAAGAACAATGTATGAGGTTTTTAAAAAAGGAATATGATAACAGCAGCAAAGGATTATATCTGGGTTTGTGGATGAAAAGTGGACTGGAGGCAGTCTGGTGGCATCATGGATCAATAAAGATGCATAAGAAAGGACAGGCTACCATTAGAAGGACCAAAAACTGTGGAATGGATACCCATGGAAAAATCATGACTTTCTTTAATAGTATGTGTTATAACGATCTTTGTATCTGATAAAATCATTATTTCTTCCTTTTTTCAATGAAATATTAATTTTCTTTAAGGTATTGCTTATAAGGCCCTTACCTGGAGAGTTATCCACTTTGGGAAGAAAACTTAGAACAAGCAGGACGGTGTTTTGAAAGTCAGTAAAGTCGCTGATGAAGGGGGCTCTATCGCCGTTAACAAGCATTCGTGGTGGCAGGCCCTTCTGGAATTCATATGTTCTAACCAAAGTTGTAGGAAAGAGGGATGCAGCTAAAAAGTCCACAGCCACACACCAACTTCTTCCAAAATTTGCTTCTGGTTTAGAATAATACTCCAACCTAAGAGACAAGTGGAAGCAGGTACAATTGTAATTAGTCCACTCAGAACTTCAGCCTCATTATTTTCTTTTTGTTGTTTTTTATTTTTTAGTTTCAAGTTTTTATTTAAATTCTAGTTAGTTAACATATAGTGTAATATTGGTTTCAGGAGTAGAATTCAGTGATTCATCACTTATGTATAATACCCAGTGCTCATCACAAGTGAGGAACAATAGCTTAAATAAACAGCAAGCCCTAAGAACAATGGCTTAAATAAACTACAAAGCCTTAGGAACAATGGCTTAAATAAACACTAGGAAAGAGGTGAGGGCACCAGTTCAAGGCACAGAGGCGTATAAACAAAATCAGATCAAATTGAAGCCTTTCAAATGATTTAATTGAATGTGTTATTGGACAATTCACCTAATAAGTCAGTTAATATGTAGTCAAGTAAAAAAATAAAAATACACTTTTAAAGGCTCATTTTAATTTAAAATACAGATATACATGCACCAACCAATCCTAGGATCCAAGACCACAGAGTTTTAAGTATATGTAGACTATACAGAGTTCAGTGTTGTCTCACGTAAATAAAAAACCCTAATATATTCTTTTACCTAAAAAAGTAACACATGAGATTTGAAGGAAATGCCCCAGTATGTTGTAGATTGCAAACATGACCCCAATTTTTCAAAACTCTTTATATCTCTGTTTTTTGTTTTTCCCAGTGCCCCTTCCCTGTTACAATTGGAAGGAGGTGGGAAGGAGAGAGGCATAACTTTCTGACCCTGGCTCAGCCATATGATTTCATTTGGCCAATAGGATATTAGCCAACTTGACACAGTGTAAGCTTGAAATATTTTTCACAATTTGGTTTCTCTCTCCTTGCCATTCTGCCATCAGTATGGCAAACACTCAAGCTTGCCTGCTGAAGAATGGAAGACAAGTGCAGCAGAGCTGAGCTTCACTCATCCCTGTGATGCCAATCAAAATCAGCTAACATGAGGTGGGCCCAGGAAAGGTCAGCAGAACTGCCCAGCTGAATGTTAAACATGTGAGGAATAAACACTGCTGTATGACACTGAGATTTAGTGGTTATCAACTGTGCTACATTCTCGTGAAAAAAATGGAATGAAGTACAGGGCAACACATCCAATAAACTGCGGACTTCTCAACAACGAAAGTGAAGCTAAAAATTAATGGAGATATGCCTTCAAAAATCTTAAGTATTACCAGCTGAGCCTTCTGTAATCACTCAAAGCCTCAGGCAAAAATCGTGATAGAATAATGATATTTTAAGAATGCAAATTACCTACAATTTTTTCTTCTTATACAACTGTTCTGAATCGACTAGTATGTAAGTCCTAACAAACAAAGTAATCCAAGAAATAAAAAGATACGGGATACTGGAAATGGGTGATTTAACACAAAGAAAAGACAAAGGAAATCTACTACAAAGATGCTAGAGACCTAAGAATCATATCTGACCATTTGGGCAGAGCAGAGCAAGTCAACAGCTTTGAAAGAAACCTCTTCAGTAAGAAGAAATTGATATAATTCTGGATGCTTTTAAACATGTTGAGAAGAAACTTCCTTGGTTTGCCAATTTGAAGTAATTATTGTTGTGTACAATAGAAAGTAAACAAAAATGCACAAAAAATGATCAGCTCTAAAGGGAATAAGATAACAAAGAAAAATAATTATAATCAGTTTAGTACGTATGATATGAAGAGTAATTAATAGTTAAAATAATGTAGCCGCTGAACATTGACCCAATCCAAATCACTACACAATTATGCAGAGAAAGTGAGAAGTGGGAAGAATCTGTGTGGAGTGGGGGTGAGGGGAACTCAGTGGTAATTTTCTGTGGTCATGATAAAAAGGATAATACTTAGATCTGCAAATCGGGAAATGTTATAGGATTTTTTATTTTTAGAAATATAGTACCAAATATCAAAGTAACCAGCGTTTATAGTAGTATTCTCCCTGGATACAGCTATTTCATTTATTTATGTATTTTTGGTGGAAGAGATGACAAAACCTCATAGAACCATTTGACTCTTTAAATCATTGACATATAAGTGGATAATATACAAACTAAAAATAATCCAAAACAAAAAATAAGAAAGCACACCTGAATTCAATATATAAATTAAAGAAATGGAAGGAAGGAAGGAAGGATGGATGAGGGGGAGGGAGAAAGAGAGAGAAGAAGGGGGGAAAGGAGGAGAGGAAGGGAGGGAGGGAGGGAGGGAGGAAGGAAGGAAGGAAGGAAGGAAGGAAGGAAGGAAGGAAGGAAGGAAGGAAGGAAGGAAGGAAGGAAGGAAGGAAGGAAGGAAAGAAGGAAGGAAGGAAAGAAGAATCTCTGAAGAATTCCTGAAATAGAAATAGCAGCAGCTGTGGGAAGACTCTAAGGACCGTCCAACCACTACTCTCACACCTAGGACAGAGAGGCCCTGATCACACTCAGTTGCCTGCTAACCTACCTGAGAGGGAGGGAGAAGAGGTATGAATGATATTTTGTTCAGTTAGGCGATTGCCTGGGTGGCTCATCTCTCCCCAGAATTGAAAGATTCTTCAAGGAAGTGAATATAATATTTTATTTCTGCTTCATTATATATTGAAAAGGTGGAAGCATTTTTTTATTGTTTAATAGCTTTTAGTATCTTTTTAGACGGGAAGAAGAACCTTGGCAGCTAGTGACCTCATAAAACTAGTTTGTAGTCCAGGTACATTGCAGGCAGCACAGCTTACAGGTAAGAAGATGAGCTATGGAGTCCTGAGAAATTTAAATACTAGCCCTGCCAGTCATTGGCCATGAGATTTTGAGCAAATTACTAAACAGCTCAACCACATACTCAGGATCTAGAAAAAGGAGGTGTTTTGAAGTGAGATATTACGTTAGGATACCTTGTGAAATTTCTTCTACTTATTGTACTTGAGAAACAGTAGCTATCTAAAAAACTCATTTCAGAGGGTTATTTGTTGATACCTAAATAAGAGGTCAGGTAAGAAGGATCAAATTTCAGAGAATAAAAAGAGTTTTTTAAAAAGCAATTTTTTGGTTATAATTAGTGAGGAGAGTGCTTCTAATACTATCAGAAAAAAAATTTTAGGTCATACACTTTTGATCAAAATAGTCATGTAAATATTTAAGATTATTCACAAAAAATTCCTATGTTCTGTGATTTTGGAGTTTTTAAATAAACTTGGCCTGTTAAAAATACAATATTTCTTTCAAAAGCAGTTCCATTACATAAATAGGAATAAATACAATAAGATTAAAAGTCTAAATCCGCAGGAGACAGGAAATGTACCTATAAGAAAAAAGTTTCTTCAATTTCCTTGAATTTACCTAAAGTACTCATATTTCTCAAGGACAAAGTTGCATTCTCTAGTGATTTATCTTTGTATGTGAACCTGGAACATCCGTAAATGAAAAAAGTAATCTAGAGCCATGACTTGCTCTCAGTCAAATCTTGAGGTTGGCAATCCCAGGCCGAAATCGTTGTCTGATAATCTCATTACTATTTCCTGCCATCAGAATAGAAAGAGCAGTTGAGTTACAACCGCAGCCCCAAATCCTATCACTGATGCTGCCACAGGAGAAAATTCCTCCATTGCCCAACTCAGTATCTGTTTTTTTTAGCCATACCAACAGGCAAAGGAGGAAGTGTGCTTTGAATCTGCTACTTAGGTGACGTATTTACCTACCTGAATGATGGAGTCAGTGGGAGAGGCAATCAGTGAAATTAAGAGGCACACATTCCTGCCTGGATTTGCCAGTCTGCTTATTCAATACCAAGAACCCTGATTTTTTGGTTCCTGTTTTTTACCATATCCAGACTTCTTTTTTTTTTTTTTTTAAAGATTTTATTTATTTATTTGAGACAGAATGAGAAAGACAGAGAGCACATGAGAGGGGGGAGGGTCAGAGGGAGGAGCAGACTCCCTGCAGAGCAGGGAGCCCAATGCGGGACTCGATCCCGGGACTCCAGGATCATGACCTGAGCCGAAGGCAGTCGCTTAACCAACTGAGCCACCCAGGCGCCCCCCATATCCAGACTTCTACCCCATATCTCACTCAAAGTGGTTGACTTTACCCTCAGATAGTGTCCATGATGGCTGATTTTATGCATCAACTTGACTGGGCCTCAGGGGGCCCAGATATTTAGTTAAACATGATTTTGGGTGTTTCTGTGAGGGTTTTCTTTTTTTTTTTTTTGGAAATTTCCAGATCAGTTGACTGAGTAAAACATATTGCCCTCCATAATGTGGATGGGCCTCATCCAATCTGTTGAAGGTGTGAATAGAACAAAAGGCTGACCTTCCCTAAAGTAAGAGGGAATTCTCTTGGCTGATGGTCTTCAAATTGGAAGACAGGCTCCTCCTGGTTTTACCTATCTATATCTATCTACCTCTCTCTTTCTCTCTCTCTCTCTCCTATTGGGGCTGTTTCTCTGGAGAACTCTGACTAATACAGTATCATTCACAACTAAACACAAATCATTCTTACACCTTCACATCTAGGTGTATAATAACCTCGAGATGTACACGTAGAGTGGCTTGATAATCTTCTAAATTATTCTGTGTGCTAATCCTGATCCTAGTCGATCTTTTTCCTTAAGTATGTACCTACCATATAATGTGCCCATGGTCAAAATAATGAAGAAAATTTCTTTTCTTTTTTTTATATAGACAAATTGGTTGTATGTTTTATTTGTTGATTGGTTGGCTAGCTGTTTTGTTAGTATCAGTTGGTTAGCACAAGATTTTTTTTTTCCTCAAAATTTTGCCCCTTCTTCATAAGACACTTTTAATCTAATCATTCTAAAAGAGCTACACTTCATCATTAAAATACACAATGACTAATATTATTTAATAAGAAGATTGACCACCACTTTAAAAGAGGAATAAAAAGGCGTAAGTAAGGCCAAAAATCATTTACCATATTAAATAGAAATGACTTGGGATCCATTCTTACCTATCTTCAAATATTTTGCCAGCATATTTCAAGGTTGAGACATGTGCAGCCCACAAGTACTTCAACAGGTCTTCAAAGCTACTAGAAGGATACTGTAAATGCTGTAGCAGAGGAGGAATTTATTCATATTTGAGAAAATATAACAATTCCTCTCCTTACCATTTAATTTAATCCCATATATAATTTATAAATATTCCACATGAGAGGAGAATTTTGTTTCCAAGAACTGTGCAAGCTCTCAGTGACTGACACTCTGTAAAAGAGTATAGTAAATATCTATTATAAGTAATAATATTGAATGCACCTATAAGAAATGAGCTGCAACAATTTTCTCAAGAGTCAGTATTTTATACTGGCCAGGAGGATTTTGGCTTTGGTTTGTCATTTGCTTTCCTGCTACCATAGTAGAAATTACTACAAATGTTTAAAATTAAGAAAAGGAGGAAATTTTTATTAGAATATTTAATTCAATCATATCTAAAGTAGTGAACTAATAATCTATAGAACTAGTAAATCTATCTTTTCACTGTGGACCTTAGCCCACGTCTATGTTTAGCCAATGTTTGTATTTTGCTCATTGAATATTTGGTTTTGATTACCACATAATTGTTTAGTTCTACTATATATGATCATTTATTAATTCAGTTGAAATAAGTTAATTGACTGTTCTAAAAACCAACTCCATAATTGTGTTTCTCCCAAGAGTTAACCCTCGGTTGCCATGCAGGTTCAATTAACCAGACTACTCTTTTTATTTAGTAAAATATCTTTTGTGCTCTCACATTATGTATAACTTATTTGAAATGAATGGATAGACTTTGTATTAATGCCATATTGGTTCAGAGGGTATTAATGGCACATAATGGTCTGCTGCAGTGTAATAATATAATTTGCATAACAATTTATATTTTTACACTTAGGAAAACATTATACGATACACACAAAAACCTAGACAAAAAGCATTATACAAAAAAGGAAATTCTCTTACCACCTCCTAAGAAAATAAATTATAAAACTTAAGAAAACAACCTGGTAAAAGGTATTCCACTTGCTCATTGGCTCAGGAAAGGATGACTGACAACTAGAAACATTAAGACAAAACTGTGTCTGATCCTTGGGTGGTGGCAAAAGCATGACTTGGTCTGATGATATCCCCATTATGCCAGAATCAACCGCAGCAAGGAAAGGTAATGCACATAGAAAGTAATTCATATCTGTAACAGCAAAATACTTATGATTACCACAAGCACTAACAAATGTGATAGAGAATATCTTTAAGTAATCTGTAAACCAGTAAGCAAAAATTACAGATCCAGAAACCTAAAAGTCACTAGCAAAAAAAAAAAAAATTGAAAATCTCCCTAAGGATCATATACATAACTTTAATATGCTTTTTTTAATGACCCTACAATTATAAATAAACGTAGGTTCAAGCAGTTGTCTATAATATCTTAAATAAAAACTAATTTTAATATTTAATATTTAAATGAATTAATGAATTAACTTTTTTATTTCTTCTATTTTTATTTTTATTTATTATTTTTTTATTTCTCTCTAAATATAACCTATTCCAGCAGATTTAGACATTATAATTTAGATGGCTGATTCTCACTGGCGATGCAGAATATTTTTTATCATAGACACGCATTTATGAATGCAATTCTACGCCCCAGTGGAGCAGGCTGATACTCCAAACTACTAAATCAATTTGAGAATAAAGCCTGAATTCTACATCTATGGCCATGACTATTTGTGGGTCTTGAAAAGAACCAGTCTGTATTAGAAGTATTAGAAAAATATGTAAAGGTGTATGGGACATGTGTCACTCTAAGAAAGTGAAATTTAATATATTCTTGTCTCTAGTTATTGGGAAATATCTCTAAGAAATTGTGTGTAAATTTTATTACTAAAACACAAAATAGAATTAAAGAATTAGAAAATACCTTCTGATTATCTTAGTATTAAATATCTGGCTGAAGGCTTTGATTACGGATCGATAAAATGATTTGTGGTACACTACTCTGACATGTTTATGGTTTAAAAGTCAAACACATTTGGTCTGAGCAAAATGAGAAAAAGCCCTATTTACTTGCTCCCTCATTTCTCATCCTTCCTCATTCTGGAGACTCGCCCTCACTCGTGAGACCTCCCACCTGACTGCCACTGCTGGGCTTTCAGAGGCCATGGTCCTTTGCAGCTCCTAGTTTCAGTCCTTCCATGAAAAGCTAAAGATGTCCTAGGGAATCGTTATTGACATTATGGCTGTTAAATTCTAGAATGTGGCATAAAGGCCACAAGGTACATGATGAAATAGATTCCTTCTTACAAAGGAATAATATTGTTTTGTCTCTGTCCCTAAGATTTTAGGTTGAATACTTTCCTTGGGGATGGTTATTACCTATTTTGCCATTTAAATGAACCTACCAGCCCACCAACTGTCCACAGAGATACACAGAGGATCTCCAGATTCATAGCCACAGCCTTCCTTTTGTCTGGGATCAGCTAATCTTCCTAGAAGAGAGAAGGTGCAGGGATTATTTATTATATGCTAACATTAATTCTTGAATATCAATAAATATTTTGCTTTAATTTGGTCTCTTCTTCTTTCATTGATCCCCAACAACTCCCTCTCACTCAATCCCTCTCTCCCTTCCTTTTCTTGCCCCTTTCTTAAACACACACACACACACACACACACACACACACACCCTACACTCAATCACATGTTTCTATGCCATCCTGTTTCCAGGTCCTGTCCTTTGGCTTAATTTCTAATATTATCAAATTAGAATAGAATTTTTCAGGTGGACTTAAACATTGGTATTTTTTTTAACTAGGCAATTATTTTCAATATGCAGCCAAGACTGAGAAACACTGCTTTGGCTCATCCTTTTATTTCCTAGTAGATTTCATTTTTATTTCCCCAGTAAAATTTCATCCACATTTCAAGTCTCAGTTTAAATTCATTTTTTCCTGATTACTCCAGCTGACTCCACTCTGCCCTTTGTTTTGCACTTTTATCTTTTATCCAAGAGTTATTGTTAATTGTTTTCTATTTAATTTCTGCTATCTTTTTCTATTTCACTTGTGTTGTAAATTCTTTGATGGCAGGTAAACTGAAAGTACTTACTCACACCCCATCTCCTCACTGCTCTTAGTAAATGCTGGTCCCTTATCAGCTCATCAGTGGATGACTTTAGTCAGGCTTGACCCTGATGTGTGAATGCAACAAAAGTGTAAGAAGGGCGTTTATCTACCAGCTCATTCAGACTCCATCTCTCTCCTGAGGTTGTCATGCCTCCCATAGTAGACTTCATGTTAGCGATTTCTCTTGGACCAGGGTTGTTTTGACCCCAAGGAATGTAAGATAAATAGGAGTAGATTTGGGTCTCAGGACATTCCCTCACAAAGACGCATGACTTGTCAACCTCAGTAGCTCCTGGATATGACCACTGCTCAGACTTAAGATCAACCATAATCTTCTCTCTATAGTTTTTCCATTGGAATAGAACAAATCTCCTTATTGGTAGTATTATCAGTGTGGAGTAGGCAGAAGCACCACTCTCCTTCATGAGCTTCTTCTGTCAGCCAGAACAAAAATATCTTTTTAATTCATGAATCCTTGGCCCACAATGTATCTCCTAACTAAACATTAGAATGTATTTTCAAGAGGAATCAATCATTTGCAGAGAAACATCCTTATGAACAAGATGGCACTCCATGCCTATCAGCCCAATATCCATGTATAGGTAATCACAACTGGAACTTCAAAAAATTCAAGCTAATTTGACATCACCTTCTGTCTTTAATGTATATCCTTTTGACTGCTTTGTTCATCTGAGTGCTTAGAATGGCATCTAGCACCTAGCAGGAGTTCAGTAAATACTTGTAGTATGCTCAATAGATTTCAATAGATTTAATATGAAGTCTTTCTCTGTTTGGCAACTATGCCTTATGCCCCATTGTGGTTTCTAGTCAAAACAGAAGCACATAAAAGAAGGATTTATGGAGCAGAAGGAGAAGTAGAGAAATATGGTTATGAGGGGAAAAGAGGAAAAAGAAAAGGATCAATTTTCAAAAACATGGTATGGTATATACAGAGTCTTATTTCCCAATTACTACATGGTCATATTGGTAGATCATCAGGATGAAAACAAGAGTCATTCTTACCTGTTCTGTATTGCCAGCCATTCTGGAGAGGTAACCCCCATAAAATATTTTGTTCATTGTCTGCTCCAATGTTTTCAAAATAACTCGCTGTCTTGTTCACTAGGATTTTGTACATCCCCATTCTCTCAGGGTATACCCAGGGATCAATAATGTACTTTCCATTCTCTACCCTGTAGTCACTGAACTGACCAGCACTCTTCTTCCACAGCGGGGGATACAGATCTGAGAAATTAGATGCTCTGGCTAAAGAAGCAGAAAAGCAACCAACTAGTACACAGGTCCAAGGAGGAAGGAAAGCCATTGCACCAAAGCTGGGGGTTGAGATTGTGGCAAGGCTTTTATTGGGAAATGGAGGAAGAAGTCATGGTATTTGCTTATATCCCAGCATGTCAACACTTTTTGTTCTTTTCCCTGAAAAGAATAGAGTGAAGATGGGAAGGCCTTGCCAATGAAAATAGGGTGTCTCTCTTGCTAAATAATAAATGGATTTATTGATAATAAATTTATCAATATAGTTCGTTATTCACAGATAGTCCAAACAAGCTGTTGAAAATTTTATTGCTGAATGAATAAATATTCTAAACACTTTCAGAAAACTGCTATTAAGTTTACATTGTGTTTTTATGCCTATTAAATGAAATACACTCCTACACATATATCTTGACCTTATTCATCTAGAAATTTAAAGATATGGGCAGTTACCTATGTCTGCAGAAAACAGTTTACATAGCAAGCCTGAGAATGTTATAGTTTAAAAAACCAGCTTGCAAGGTTGGTACTTGACTGGTGTCTGTCTACTTGGCTCTCAAAGTTCCCAGTCAACAGTTAAATGACAAGTGATTCACTATACCTAGACTGTGCAAGTAATATGGTTTATGCTCAACACCTGCTTTCTTTGTAGAGTCTGGAACTTCCATATATGACCAGCCCCCAGTAAATAGCTTGGGTACTAACTCTTTAGTGGGCATCCCTGGGCAGAAACATAACACACATATTGCTGTCCTCCTGTTACTGGGGGAAAAGTGTGCTCTGTGTGACTTCTCATGGGAGGGAAAGAACATTTAGAAATCTACACATGCATTCCTCCAGACTCTGCCTGTGTCTTTTCCCCTTTCACTCAGCTGTGTGTTCTTACTACATCACCATAAAGAACCTTAGCCATGAGTATAATCATATGCTGAATCTTGTGAGTCTTCTAGAGCATGTTTAAACATAGGTCTCTGAATGAAAACCTTCAGATACCCACTAGTTATCTCTCACCAAAGGCTAAGAAAAAAATGTTTTAAACATTTATTTAGTATGTTTAGTGAATATAAAAACTTCTAGCCCCCATATTGAATCATGTATCTCTAGACCCTAGAGGAAAAGGCAAAGTCTAACAGGTTTTAATTTGGGGTGTATAAGTGTCAACAATATAAAAAAGAAATTCCTTGATATTATAATTTAATTAAAAAGGAATGGACTGTCTTGAAGTGCTGAGTTTTTTCCACACAGAGGCTATTGAACTAGCGTTTGGGGGATAACGTAAAGGAAATTGATATATTAGCTAACATATAAATAGTTGAATTTTGCAACTCCTTCTGTGTCAGAATCTAAAATATAGGTTAGGCTGACCTATAATATTATAGATAAGACTACTGTCAACAGAAACCTTCCAGGGTTTCCTAATCTACGTTATGATTACAAAATATATCACCAATGATATTGGGGTACTCCCTTACCATTGAAAAAAAAGCTTTAATGTGTTGCACACATAATATGATGGTTGATGTACCAGGATTTATAATAATGTGTCAATATATACTGAAAAAAAAAGAATGTTCCATTTAGTAGAAGTTTCTTTTTTTTTATGGCTGAAAATAATCATCATGTTTCACATACAGGCAATAATTCAAACAGAAGTGTCACATATTTCAGCATAAATATACAATCTATAGAACTCAGAATAATAATATAACAATGGTTAACTTTACTATGAATTATTTTCAGAAGCTTGAAGTGCACTTATGTACCCAATAGACCAAGCCAGTCTATGGGCAAAAACTCCTAGTTTTCTTTCATCCTTAGAATGTTAACTGGGAACATGGATAATCCAGAATTAAGGCTACAATTCCAGTATATCTTGCATAAGTAACCACATTACTAGGTGCCAGCCACTGGGACATGAATGGAAATCATGTCCATGTATCTCTTAAAAAAAAGGGAAGGCCACTTTCTCATCCCTTCCTCTATTCTGTGGCTTGGAATGTAGATGTGATGGCTACAATTCCATCTCGATGCTTATGGACAATAATACCATCTTGGGGGTAACAAAATGCAAAGCTGGAGATTGCATGAGTCCTAGAAGACTGTGCAACCACGAAATATAACTGAGTCCCTACATCTGGATTTGACTTGAGACAGAAACAACTTTCTATCTTACTTCTAGCACAGTTATTTGGGTTTCACCTGCACATAGTGAAAATAATGTCCTCACAAGTAAGCAGTACAAAAGTCTGATTATTAGCATCATCAGAAAACCCTGTTTCCCAGCAGGTCAAAAGTGAGGCTTGCTCTGGCATGGTCCACACTGACTATCCCTCAGCAGGATATAACTGCTTTACTCCTGTCATTTTATTTTCCCAGTGGTCTTCTGATCACTGATTTTGTTGATCCATAGATCAACTTCTGATCAAGTTGATCCATAGATCAACTTTCCAAACATATTAATATAAAGGGGAAGTGTTGAAAATTACTGTTTTTTATTCTGGATCAAGAACAAGCATTCTGGATATCAAGAAAATATATTCCATCTTTATAAAAAATTAACATATGGATGTATATTATAAGACATATTTTTCTAGAACCAAATGCCAACATTAGCCATGTACTAAATTAATATATATAAATCAGTAATTTTAATATAAAAACACTTAGGAGCATAAAGGAATAAATATATTGGAGGAAAAGTTCCCATTTAAAATGTCAACAAAGGGACTGAAATATCTAGGAATAAATTTAAATGTGTTAGATAAATATGGGAAAAAAATCTTTAGACACACTCATGAGAGACACAAAATAAAACTGAACAAGTTTAAGTCATGCCATGTTCTTTTTTTTTTTAAAGATTTTATTTATTTATTTGAGAGAGAGAATGAGATAGAGAGCATGAGAGGGGGGAGGGTCAGAGAGAGAGGCAGACTCCCTGCTGAGCAGGGAGCCCGATGTGAGACTCGATCCCGGGACTCCAGGATCATGACCTGAGCCGAAGGCAGTCGCTTAACCAACTGAGCCACCCAGGCGCCCCCAAGTCATGCCATGTTCTTAAATGAAAAAACTCGACATTATCAAGATGCAAATTGATAAATTCAACACAATCACAATGAGAAATATTAACAGAATTTTTAGAAGTAGTACAGCTAAGTCTAAAGTCTCTAAAAAATAGTTGAGAAAATAAGAAAACTCTAAAAATAAGGGTAATAAGAATGAGAGGCAACTTCCCCTAACTGATATTAAAACTTAATGATTAAAGTAACACATGAGAGTCATCCACATCCAGAGTCCTCAGTGGGATACTGTAACCATATGCATATAAGCAGATAGATCATTGGACTAACAAAAAGAAAAAGGTTTTTTAAAACAAGACCCGACCCCAAAACAAATGAGCAATTTATAGGGAATTGTAGGGCTAAATCTGCACAGTCCTTATGGATGTTATGGGCATTGGATTCCTACATACAGTGGGAAAATAAGAATACATACTGAAGTAAGATATTTGTTAAAGATACTACAAGAAATAATAAAGTCAATAGAAGAAGCTAGATTTTCTAATCCAGAAAACTGTGAACAGCATATATAGATGTATTGAACCAGTCAAAGAGAAAATAATTAGAAGCTTCCAAGTAAGCCCCAAGTGAATGTTCAACTTATCATGGCATGCACTGCTAGGTACATACACCAATAGTCATTTCCTCTCTCTTTCTTAGTAAGGCAACAATAATGTTTTTAGTGCAGGACAGTCTTTTCGGGAATAAACGTTATGTTAGTTCCTCTCACTTACAGCAAGCTGTGGCTATGTGATTAAGTTTTGTCCAGTTGACTGCAAGTCAATATGTGATGTTGCAACTTTCAGGAAACCTTCTTAAATGACAGTTTGTCTTTTCTTACTCATTCCTTCTTCCTTCCGCTGGCTGGAGTAACTTGAGACTGACAAACCCTCTTAGATTATGAAGTAGCAAAAAGGGTGGAGGAACAAGAACATAGAAGAACCTAGGTTTCTGATATTCATGGCGCTCTAGACTACCCACCTCTGGACTACTGTTTCTAAAGAAGAAATGAAATTTTATCTTGTACAATACAACTTTTTTCGCAGGATTTGTTACTAATCTGAACTGACATTCTAATGATGTCTTTCAGTATCTCTCTACTCTTCCCTTACCTGTAATGTAGACGTAGGGTTACCTACTCTTATATCCACTAATTATTACTGTTTCAAGTCGTTGGAAGTTTGTGATAACATAGAAAATTTGGATTCGATTATTGGATAGAAAATTTGTATTTAAATGTGAAGCACAAACAGGAAAACAACTCAATCTGTATTTGTGTTTGAAACACATGTGTACGTACAATAACTCAAACTCCAAAAGATCCACGTGAGATGAACACTAATATCTACTTCATAATAGGGACATTGAGTCTTATCAGGATTAAAGCACTTACCCAGAGTCACTCAGGATGCAAATGGGAAAGCCTGATCCCAGGTCTGCCTGGTCAGAGCCAAGGCTTTTCTAGGCTATACTATATCGTGCCACCAAATAATAAATCAGATTATAGGGAAAAAATTATTTAAGAATGAAATTATGCTTAAACAACTCCAGCATTTTATTCATATCAAGGCATTTGTCAAGATTCTTTGCCTATAATTCTGATTGAAAGTATTAAATGACAAATGTTTGTGGAAACTGCCAGAAAATTAAAGCCAGAAGACATGTGTCCTCGTTTCAAACTTGCACTAGCAGTGTGAACTTGGGGACTCTGATTCCAAATTTTTTTCTGCAAAACAAGGATAATAAAACCATTTTCTACTTCTGCAAGTCATTGGGAAACATGGATGAGAGAGGATGTAGACAAAAGGAGTAAGAGTATAAATCCATTCAAAAATAAAATCATAAAGCCATTTTTATTAGAATTAAACACCATCTGAGGACATGTTTGACCCACCTCCATATTCTAAGTATGTACCTTGACTTACGCATGATTTGATCATATTCTTGAATTGCTTTGATGCTTCCATCCTTCTATTCCCTGTTTGGTCAGACAGTA